AGATTGGGAAATCTACTTCTGTAGTGATAACACCTCAGAAGCCCAAGGAGGGGTTGCTATGAGTCGGGTCCAACTTTACATTAGTTTTATCCTAATCCTGCCTCTATGCTCATGTGACCAAGTTCAAGCTTCTGAGGCAATACTGGCTTCAGAATTGACAGATTTAGTTTGGCTCTTGCTGCTACCTCTAAATATTACAAGACAATAGAGAAAGTGCCATAATATCATGAGATTCCACTTGTATTACTCTCCTCAAGACAGGGGCCATATGGCTTTTATTCTGTAAATATGTGTTGACTCTCCTTTTTTCCCTCCACACTCTTGGGGGATGCTGTTACTCCCTATGTCAGAGAGAAAAGCCATTATACAAAATCTCTCTTAATTATCTTTTCTATTTATTTTCTTACTTCTTGTCTCAGTAGAAGAATGTTTATCCTCTGGTTCAAGTTTTTTCTTCCAGCTGCTCTGGTTCACATCCATTTGATTCACTTAGAGACTTCACTAGTTCACTTATTTCCATTCTAAGCTGAATATTCTAACACATCCCCACCCCTTTTTCTCTGCTTATTTTTTCCTCTTCAGTGTAAACAGTTCTTGAATAATCACAATGACTGCCTACTTATCAAATCTAAAGGACACTTTTCAATTCTTATTCCATTTGAACTTTGATACTGTCCATCTCTTCTGCCTGTCTTCATATCTCCCTTCTACTAATTCCCCTTATCACTTGCCTCTACCTAGTATCCCTCTCACTCTGCCATCAAGTCAATTCCAACTCGCAGTGACACATAGGGTTTCCAAGGTTATGAATCTTTATGGAAGTAGATTGCCTCATCTTCCTGCCATGGAGCAGCTGGTGGGTTTGAACCACAGAACTTCTGGGTTAGCAACCAAATGACTTACCCACAAAAATGAAACAAACCCATTACCTTCAATTCAATTCTGACTCATAGTAACTCTATAGGACAGAGTAGAACTGCTCCAAAGGGTTTCTAAGGCTGTAACTCTTTATGGAAGCAGACTTCCACATATTTCTCCCATGGAGAAGCTACTGGGCTCTAACTGCCAATCTTTCACTTAGCAGCCAAGAGCTTAATCACTGTATCACCAGGGCCCCTAGTATTCTTCTACTTCTCTCTAATATTCTACCCAATATCATCTACTATGCTACTATCTATTCCTGGATATTATCATCCAGGTACACATTTTCAACAGTAGCTCTAAGCAGATGACCCCAAATTCACATCTCTAAAACTTTCCCCAGTGCTTTGATTTTTCTATTAATTCTAGTTACCATCTTTTGATCTTTAATTCTAGTTATCTTGTCACACAGAAGGTTCTCAAGCATGTTAAGCTCAAAGTGTTCCAAACACATTTGCTATCACTCCTCTAAATCTCTTCTTTTGTTATTCTTCCTCTTATTTAGCAACGTATTTCTAGTAACTCAGAATAGCATTCTTAATCATCAACTCCTCTTTCCCTCTGCTCTTCAAGACAGCTAATCCAGTGGTATAAAATTAATATGTGAGCATCAGTACAGTTTTGGAGAAATGCAGAACCCAGAAATACTGATTCAGCAGGCCTGAGATCAGAACCAGGAAAATCGACAGTTTCAACAAACATACCAGGTGATTCTGATGAATTGGGTCTTTGGTCTACACCTTGAGAAACATTCATCCAAGTGGCTGTCTTGTTGATTCTGTCTTTAAAATACAACTTGTATCTATTTTTCCCTTTTGCTCTAACTGTGGTTGTGCCCTAGTTCAGGACTCCAGTTGCATTGCCTGGAATAATGAATCAGCCTCCCTTAGATCTTTGACTCTTGAAGACGTTTCTTTATCCACGCTCCATCCTTTTCAAACTGCCAACAAGGTTCTCTACTTAAACCAAAGTTAAGATTTATATTACTCCTCTTTCTAAAACCCACTGGTAGTTAGGTACTGAGGAAATTAGTCTTAAAGTCTTTAACATCACATATCAAGACCTTCCAGACTATGGATTCAATTTCATCTTTCATTACAAATATAACAATGTTGTTTGAGTTCCTAGACCTTTATTCTTTCTATGTCCACTCTTAGAGCTTTAGTGTAATATGTTATTTCCTCATATCAAGCCAGTCTAGTTCAAACACCATTCTGTCTGAAATTCCATAGCTCCTGCACACTGCCAGTGATCTTCCTTGGCTGCCACTCTTCCAGGCCACTTATTTGTTTTGTCTTATTCAGGTCCTTTTTGCCTGTTTGCCTTTTTCTCATTGTACAGTGTAATGTACACACTGTCATAATCTTAAACAATGTATTTTACCATTCTGAGTCTATTTACCTCTCTGTAAGATTGAGGTAGTAACACATCTTTCAGGTCTGCTATGGGAAATAAAGTATCATTGAGAACCATAATGATGTTGAATATTTTTTTTCTTCTTTCTCTCCTTCCTTTTTTTCAACTTGTTTGCCCTTTGCCTTCATTTCCATGGATGTGTCTTTCTTTTTTCTCCCTCTTTTCTTGCTTTGTGTCCTCCTTTTCCATTCTCCCCCCTTCTTTTTTCCTTTATCTGTCATTTCCCATCTTTTTTCTCTTAATTCTTGTGTCTCATATAGCACCTGGCACAGTGTTTAGATATATTTGATGTTCCCTAAAAAATTCGTGAATTTTTTTAAATGAATTAAGTCAGATTGGTTATGCACAATTAAAAGCTTAATAAATAATTAACCTCACACCGTATACATAATATATACAAACAAACAAATCTATATGGTGTCCCATGATAGGATACTTTCCAGTATCTCTGCAGAGAAAAGCCTTCCACGTTGAAGCAATTCTAATTATAAAAATTACAATGCTTAAAATATAAGAACACTATTCTGCTTAATAACAAATATTTATATTTCTTTTAATATCAGGAACAACAAAACCGTATCCTGCTGATATTGTAGTTCAATTTAAGGACATATATACATTGATGGGCCAAAATGTGACTTTAGAGTGTTTTGCTCTTGGAAAGTAAGTATATTTATATATTCAGTTAACATATATAGAAACAGTGGCCTCATTAGTGTTGGTGTCACCCAGTGCCGTAAGTCATGGTGTTACCCTGCCATGGACCTCCACCTGTACCAGACCATAAGCATCCTTAGTAATCATTTATTATCACTTTTAATCATAGAACAATATGTGATAAATATAGTTGTAAACTGCTTAAGTGTAACATTTCTTAGAGTTACATGAATACTAACAAAATTATTTCATAAAGTCTTTCTACATTGAAATACAACATTATTGTTACAGCCTTGCTAGTTACTAAGTGCAAGCCATTTTTTAATTTTTCTCCTACTTTTATTTTAATTACAACTTCATTCTCAAAAAAGTTATTTATATAGGTTCATAAATACTAGTTACCACAATATTGTAGCTAAAATACCAGAAAATTTGACAAAATCAGCAACTATAAAAACACCAGCAGCAACAAAAATATTGTGTGCCTGTAACATGTGCAGACAAAACCATGTGATTCAAAGCACCACTGTGATTGGATAATTATGACAGCTGTGACCTGAGCACATTTAGAAGGTTCAAACAGTAAATTAGCATAAGAGTGTTGGCCTTGCATGTATAGATACATAAAAGCTGGATTGACAAAAAATGTTTTTGTTTATAAAATTACAGGAATATTTTTATTAAAAAAAATAGTAAACTTCTGCTGAAACACTGCACAAAAATTTTATAGACATTCATTTTGTTATCACCCCCTCAGAGTGTCTGTAGCCCCTGCACCCCCTAAGGATGCCACTGTATAGAAAGACATTAATTTGTATACCATTTTAGGCAATAAATGATATAAATATTTAGCAATAAGAATAAACAAAGTTATTGTTTTTTAAACTTTGTGGACTCTTAGCACTTGTGTCTTTTGTTCAAAGTCCTGTTCCTGATATCCGGTGGCGGAAGGTCCTAGAACCAATGCCAAGCACTGCTGAGATCAGCACTTCTGGGGCTGTCCTCAAGATCTTCAATATTCAGTTAGAAGATGAAGGCATATATGAATGTGAAGCTGAGAACATCAGAGGAAAGGACAAACACCAAGGAAGAATTTATGTCCAAGGTAGAAAATTATTTTAGTATTCTATACATTTTATTTATAGCAATTTCCCATACTTGAAAAACTCCTATATAATGATTAATAGTTTTTTTTAAAACAGCAGTGTATATTACATTATGCAGGAAGATGAAGCATTTATTTTTGTCTAACTAAGTCACAAATATCGGTCAGAGAATTTACCAACTTTTACCATTAGTATCATAATTAAGAACAATGGATTGATTGTAGTGTTTTTGATGATTTTTAGGATATACAATTATTGTAACTTGTTTATATTGTGGGACCCTTTTTCTTATGCTCTTTTTTTTTTTAATACTTATTTATTTGTAATAGAACCTATGTGTTATGACTTAGTTTAACTCAGTGGTTTTCCAACTTAAGCTTGCATAAATATTACATGGAATGCTTGTTAAAACACAAATTGATGGGCTCCCACTCTCAGAGTTTCTGATGGAGAAGATCTGTTGTGGGGCCCAAGAAATTGAATGTCAAATATGTTAGCTTCAGATGATGCTATGGCTATTGGTCCTCGAATCACGCTTTGAGAACCACTGGTTTATGAAGTTACTAATGCAATACTCATGGTGGAAGTACTTGATTTGCATACATTTAAGTAAACTTATTTATCAGAAGATAAAATTTTTATTTTTGTCTTGGGCAATACTTGAAATTTTATAGGATACAGTCATCTCCTTATTTCCATAATGTAGAACTGGGTGGTGAACACAATTGAGTAAACTTCGACTGCTTCAACAGTATCATTAATTTAAAGAACAAGTGTATTTTGGGTGTCTTCTCAGATCCAGGCACTGTGATAGGAACAAGGGTTGTTAGGTAAAGGAAACACTTTCATTGCCCTTGAAGAATTCATACAATATACAAACAATTCTATACAAGTAAAACATACAAACAAGCCTATAATACACACATAAACAAGTAACTTTAACGAAAACCAAGACAGCATAATCTGGGCATTTGCATGAGATATTAGTAAAACACATGGGAAGGCACCTTAAACCATACTGAGAAAATGGGTGATAAGAAAACTGGGATGCAGGGATATAGTAGAGCTGACAAGGGACAAGGTTGTAGTCACTTCTTGGTCATAGCCAGCTACCCAGAGGAAGTGAGTTGTTGGAACTGTGGGCTCGTGGTCGCAGGGGACATCAAGCTCAATTGGCCTAACATACTAACAAAAACATTGTTCCACATCCTACTTTGGCAAGTAGCTACTGGGATCTTAAAAGCTTAGAAGCTGCCATCTAGGTGCAATGATGATTCTCTCCTTGTCCAGAGTAAGGAAGAATGAATAAAACCAAAGCACATGGAAACAATTAGTCCAAGTGGCTGTACACCATGCAATCTTCAGCCTATATGACAATGAGATCAGAAGTGCTAGATGGTACCTGGCTACCACTGCCAACTGCTCTGAGGGAGATCTATGTAGGAGATCCTGGATGGAATGGGAGAGTGGTGTGCAACAAAACTCAAAATCATAAAAAAAAAAAGAGAGAGAGAGACCAGGTTTGCTGGTCTGACAGAGCCTGATGGAATCCCTGAGACTATGGCCCCTACCTGCCTTTCAGGTCTGGAATTGAACCCACTCCCATGGCTTCCAGCCAAACAAAAGACAGACATATGAGCTGAACATTTACATTAGGTAGATACACTCCTTGGAGAGATCAATCATGGGAGAATAGAAGGGGAAGGGCTGTGTATTCACAGGGAGACAGCTCAGCGGGCAGGAGTGCATGGGAGGGAAGGACAGAGGAAAGAAGTAACTATGGGGAGGAAGTGGGAGGGGAGCTATTGCATTGTGGGAAATTACAGTCATTGTTATGGGACAAAGTGTATGTAAGCTGCTGTATGGAAAGTGAATTTGCTCTGTAAACTTTCACCCAAATCACAATAAAAATTAAACAAAACAAACAAACAAACAAACAAACAAAAAAAACCTGAGATGATATTTTAGCCAAATAGGAATACCAAAATAGGGAAAGGGTCAAAAGCAACCCCCCTGGTACCTCTGAATAACAAGCCCCTCCTCAGACCCCCAGGCCTGTTACACAAGGAGAAGTTAGGTCACTCCATTTTTCCAGCACATGCAGCCTTTCCAACATCTTCTACTTAGAACCCACCAGGATGAGGTGCATTTTGCCTTTGCCTCTTCACTTCATTCTCCATGAGAGCCCAACTTCCGTGGCCCAGTCACAGTTTGCACTCTAATGCCTACACACCTTTGTGCATTTCCAGGTCAGCCCTATCTCCTACCTATCCCCAATCAAACATCCCTACACTGTGGTCTCTGGAACACACAGTCCCCTACCAGCAGAATCACCTATATTTTCAACTTGTGCTCTGAATGTTCCCTTCATCTTTTTAGTCTGCCTGAAACTTGGCTCTCCCTTTAAGACACTGCTCTCTCTGGGGCCTTTTCAGGCAGTGACTATTTTTCTTACACAGCTTCATTTCACTTGACTTGCAGTGTGCCTGCCTTCCATGTCCTTATTGCCAGTTTTAGACCACCTTCCTTTTATGATCCAGTTAACAATCTTACAGGATCAGACCATGCTTATCCCTCCTGTGGCAGACAAAAAAAAAAAACAAAAACTCACTGCCATCAAGGTGATTGGACTCATAGCGACCCCTCCCTGGGTTTCCCAGGTAGTATCTCTATGGAAGTAGATTGCCCAATCTTCCTTCTGAGGAGTGGCTGGTGGGTTTGAACCGCCAGCCTTCTGGTTAGCAGTCAAATACCTCAGGCACTACACTACCAGAGCTCCTTTTTAATCAGCAGAGAGCTTTTAAGCCTTGCACCATAAGAGCTTCTAAACTCTGACTCCTATAATCCTTTAACTCTACCAGGACCCATAACCATTACCCCTACTATATTTTAACTGTCTCTCATCTCCCCTAGTCCCCCTGTCCCATCTCCTAAATCTGTGATCAATCATTATCATTACCCTTCATTCCCTCTCAGCTCACTCACCTCTCTTCACTTTGTCACACTACCTTGACAAAAGATTTAATCCTGGATAAATCTGTCTGAAAAGGTGAATCCAGGAACTTGCATATGATTCGAGATAAACACCACCATGCTGATTGGTCCATTTTAAATTAATGATGACTAACTTTAAGTGAATCCTTAATATTGCCTGGCAATTACGCAACATTTTCCTAGCCCCCTTATTTCCTACTCTTATATTACTGCTTCATAGCTTCACCCCTTTCTCCAAATCCATTAATACCTCTTCCCCAGCCTTACTCTCAGCTGATAACTTTACTTTCTATTTCACAGAGGAAATGAGAGTAATAAAAAGAGAATGTCCACAAATACTCACCCCACATCTATCCATTAACTGCATCTCCTTCCATATTTATTACTCTGGATTCAAGCATTATCCGAGGCCAGAACCTCCACTTGTGAACAAAATACTACCCCTATAACTTACTTAAGAATATTGCTCCAATAAGCTGTTCCATTGTGGGAAATTGCAATGTCATGAGACAAAGTGTATGTGAGCTGCTGTATGGAAAGTGAATTTGCTCTGTAAACTTTGACCAAAATCACAATAATTTTTTTTTTTTTAAAAAAGGAATATTGTTCTAACAAGTTTCACTTCTCTACAGCAACTTTTATTCTTCACGAGGGAATTCCCATCAGCATATAGAGTCTGTTATTTCTTCCTTATTTAGAACCCTCTTTTCAACTCTAGCTCCATTTCTCTTCGTCTTGTCCACCCAAAAAGGTAATTATTATTTTTTTTCAATCTTGAAAGATTTGTCTATACTGTCTAAACATGTGCCTTTAATTTCTGCTATCCTTTAAATGCACTCAACTTGATTTTCATTCCCACCCTACCACTAAACCTTTCTTTTCTAGGTTACCAAACAACAGCCTTGCTATTAAAACTAATGGTCAATTCTCAATTGTATCTCACCTGACCTATCAGCTGCAATAGACACGATTAATCCTTCTTTCCTCATGATGTATATTCTGTGTTTGGCTTCTGAAACCCCATATTTTATTAATTTCTTACCTCATTCTCATTGTCCTTTGCTGTCTCTTCCTCTAACTCCATGCCCTTTTAATATTTGAGGGCTTAAGGTTTGGTTTTTGAGTCTCCTCTCTCTTTCAGTCACCCCGTTATGATCTCATTCATGGCCATAGGTTTTACACCATTTATAACCTGGCAATGTAGCCATGCACATGCAGCCTTTCCAACATCCAACCACCCTGATAACATTCACTTATCAAACTTAAGGAGAAAATTGAATCCTGATCTTTCTCTAAACCTGTTACTTTTAGGCTTTTATTCATAACAGGTACAATCAGCCTGTCTTTCTATTTGTTCAGACCAAAAACTTTGGTCTTGCCTTAATTTTCCTCTTTCTCTCATGCTCATCTACCTCATTTATCAAGAAATTTTAGCACTCTACCATGAAATACTGTGGGAAGATGACACTTCTTACCACTTACACTACTATCCCCTGGTCCATATCATCATCATATCTTGCCTGCATTGTTGCCATAGCATTTGAACAGCTTTCTACTTTGTCCACTCTCTCCTGTTGTTTATTCTCAACCCAGTAGCCAGACTGATTCTTTTAAAAACTTAAGTCAGATCATGGGATTTCTTTGTTTAAAAACTCTCCCTTTTGATTTTAAGTAGAATCACTTTATAAGCCTACAAGGACCCAAATAGTCTCCCCTTGGCCTCAGTTCCCTCTCTCATTTCCTCCTTGCTGCTGTTTTCCTGCTCTTATCTTCGGCCACACTGGAACTCTCATGGTTTATTGGATATCCAAGGCCCCTCTCAACTCAGAGCACTCCATCTTCCTGCTGCCTAGAAGGCCATCCCCATGGATACTGGTACAACTGGCTTCTTTGCCTTCTGTAAACTTTGCTTTTCTGTCAGCTCAGTACAGGGAGTGCCGACCACTTGATTGAATGTTCCATTAATTCCCTGCACTGCTATTTTCTATTCCTCTTTGCTGCTTAGTTTTTGATATAACATTTATTCCTTCTAGTATACTATAGCTTTGGATTATTATTATTATTATTATTATTATTATTATTTCCCACTATCTCATCCCCAAAATTTTAATCTCCATGAGGTCAGATATTTTTTTTTCACTAATTTGTTCACTACTTTATCTCACTTAAAAATCTATGTGTCCTATTTTTAGTACCCAATACATTTTTTGAAAATATGAAAGGGATAGCATGAAAATAAAAGACATGGTGGTGAGAGAAACATGGTGTGTGGCTCCACAAACACTTCAGAGTTAACTGGAGGATAACATGGGAGACAGTACATACTGGAGGCTAACATGAGAGATAGAATGTATCCTACAGAAAATCTTGACTTTCTTATATATTTCCTTATAAAGATGGAGTGGCCTCCTGTGGGTAGGAACATTTTGGTTAGACCCTTTAGTTTTTGTAATTAAAGCTACCACTCTTTACCAGTTTCTAAAGCTTATTGATCTGTTTTTACTAAACACATTAAGAAAATTGCACTCCAGGTCTTCAGCAGAGGTAAGAATTCTTCACTGCCTAATACCTAATTCCTTTGAAGAACCAAGGTGACAGAGCAAATATTTACAGGAAATAATTCAAAAGAACTATTATTTCTTTTTTATTAATGAGGCATTCTAATTTTATTATTAGGTCAAATCAACCAGGTTTACATACCATGTATCCAGATGATTCATTTATTTTTTCTTCTCATTGCATTATGTAATGTGATAGCTCTGTGTCACCTGTGTGAGACCAAAGCAGAAAAGGTGTTGATAATCCTGTATTTATGTATTGCTAAGATGTGTACAAAATAAAATCACTACCAATTACTACTAACATATCCACATATTCAATTTTAAAAAATCATCTCCAAGACCAGAAGAACTAGATGGTGCCTGCTACCATTGTCAACCACTTGGAAGAGGATCTATGTAGGAGATCCTGGATAGAGAGGCAGAACAATGCGGAACAAAAGTCAAAATCATTTGAAGAAAAAAAAAAGGGGGGGATCAGGTTTGCTGGTGCAATAGAGCCTGGTGGACCCACTGAGACTATGGCCTCTAGCTGCCCTTCAGATCTGGAATTGAACCCACACCTATGGCTTCCAGCCAAACAAAAGACAGGCATATGAGTTGAACATTTACCTGAGGTAGATCACTCCTTAGAGAGAACAATCATGGGAGAAAGAAGGGCTGCTTATGCACAGGGAGACAGCTCAGGGGGCAGGAGTCCATGGAGGGATGGACACAGGGAAGAGGTAACTATCAGGAGGAAGTGGAAGGGGAGCTGTTGCATTGTGGTAAACTGTGGTCAATGTCATGAGACAAAGTGTATGTGAACTGCTGTATGGAAAGTGAATTTGCTCTGTAAATCTTCACTCAAATCACAATTAAAAAAATTAAAAAAAAAATCATCTCCATATGTTGCAAACAAAATGTAGTAAGTTAAAAAATAAACTAAATCAGAATATGTATGTTATAAAAAATGAATATACTTATATATATTTACACATATATAATATTGATGGGCTTTAGAAAACTCATAAAAATGTTTTGTATTTTTTATTTTTTCTGCATGTCAAATATTTTCTATAGCATGTGTATGTTACTTATGTCATTAAATAAATATAATAAAATTTCTAATTTTCAAAGAAAATTAAAAGGTTACTCTCCTCTCAGAATCTTATCCTCCTTCTTTTTTTTCCATTAATTAATTTGAGGATGGTGCAGGATCAATCAGCATTTCATTCTGTTGTACATAGGGTTGCTATGAGTTGGAACTGACTCAACGGCAAGTAACAACAACAATTGAGCTAATGAACTTAAATACTCAAAAAAAAAAAAAAAAATCCCTAAAAGATTGTTTGCTTGCATGCACTCTAGAAATATATTTAACATTTATTTTTTGTTTGGGAAATTCCTAGGATATTTTCTTTGCCATAAGTAGATCTGATCAAATAATGTGAAGCTGAGATCAATTCCACTCATGCATGGATTTTACCAATGATATTTACTGTGTAGTTTGTAATATGTAAGGGTATTTAAGTGACCAAGTCATGCTTCTGGTTCTAAAATGAGGTGTTACCATGGCAGCTAGCTCAAAGTTCCATCACAAAAAAGATAATATATAAAGCTGAGTGAGTGGTAAAAATTATCTTTATCCAAAAACAGAGGAGATAGTATCATAATCAATTATAATATCATTCTTTAAAACCTCAGTTGTTATTTTAAAAAAACAATTATGGAAAATGCATAAATTATTTTAGTGTTATTCATGAATTAGCTTTCCAATAAAACATGGTCCACAGATAGGAAAATAATTGTGAATTAGATTATAGTTACCTCATTAAAGCTTATCTGAAGATATATAGAACTTCAATACCAATGCTCTAACAGTAATTTTAGATCTCAAACAATATCTGATGACTGTTTTTCAGAATAAGGTTAACTAAATGTAATATTTATCTAGATTATGATAGATGTTGAGGCACACATTTGGCATTTACAATGTACTTTACTTTTTAGCATATCCTGAGTGGGTAGAACATATCAATGACACAGAAGTGGATATAGGCAGTGATCTCTATTGGCCCTGTGTGGCCACTGGCAAACCCATTCCTACAATCAGATGGCTGAAAAATGGATATGCGGTATGTATGTTGAAATGTCTTGCTACTCTCAACATGTCTGGGCAACATTTCCGGGTGGTCCTGGGATAAATGTAGCATGAGTGTCAATAGAATGATACTTGGGCCCTAAAATACAAATACTTCTTAAAAAAAAAAAAAAAGAAAGAAAAAACTAACAATACTTAACATGAAATATCTTCCTTGAACTTAAACAACTTTCTATAATCTTATCTTTACCTTCTTTCTCTCCCTTATTTTTTCCTCTGTTCCACTTTTCTCCCTCTTCCTACTCATCCATATCCACTACCTGATATGACCCTCTTTTTCTTGCCACTGTTTCCCTAACTCCACAGAAGCATAGGTAAGAGTGCAGCTCTAAGTCCTACCTTTAGCCCCGGGGACAAGTAGCAGCAGTGGGATCCTTCGCTACCTTCCCACTGTAATCTCCCATTGGGGCCAAGAGGGAAAAAGGTGTACTCTCAGCTCTGTAAGATGAATAGAACAAGAGCCACTGGGCATGGTAAGTGGGTTTTACTTCCCCATGCCATGAAAATCCCACTCCACTTGCCTTAAATCACAGTGGGGACAGATGAAAATAGTGTATCAAAATTAAAGATAACCAAGCACAAACCTAAACGAAAGCATTTTGATTAAAGTTTATGAAGAATATATGTTTAATTTGTGTTCTTTTCAGTATCATAAAGGAGAATTGAGACTGTATGATGTGACTTTTGATAATGCTGGAATGTACCAGTGCATAGCTGAAAACACACATGGAGTCATTTATGCAAATGCTGAGCTGAAGATCTTGGGTCAGTATCATTTCTAATTGTGGTTAAATGTTCAGCAAAAAATAACATATACACACACAATGGTCATAGGGTATCCATAGATTATATTGAAATTCACATTACTTTCTTGAATAGCTAAAGTTAAAAACTTTTAAAATGTGGTTTGGAGTAGATTGATATTTTTGTTTTTCCTTTTACTAGAGAATATTAAATAGAGAAAAGTAACTAATGTTTTTTATATTGGTTGAAAATTCTAACTACATGTATGTTCTTACTAAATTAAATTGCAACTTCGTTTTATTTTTTAACTGAGCAACTTGAACTCTATAATAAATTTGAGGCACCATGGAGTGTAATAATTTCTAACATATTTTAAAAATAATTAAGTGAAATCTATACCTGCCAACTTATATAAGTCTTGTACTCTCCTACATCTGGACAGGTAAACACAGTCTACAGAATCCCAAAACAATGCAGACTGTTGTTACAATGCTGCATCTGATGAGATGAGTTTTTAGTACTTTCTGGTTTTATCAATCTCCAAGTCACATGTCCTACAGTTACTATTTCAAACCTTTAGGATATCCTCAAGCCCCATACTCCTCCCTGACTCCTCTTTTTATATTGTTTTCTTTTTTCTCCATGAAAATTGAAATCCTTTGGCATGAAATATTTCATCTTCTAATAGCTCACTCAAAACTATCTCTTCACTGCACTTGTCCTTTTAATACTCTTCATCTAGAGGAAGAAGTGTATCTCCTCCTTATCCAAAGGCAATCCGTTTACCTCTGATTCATATTCATTCCTTTTCACTTTCACTGACACTTGGTATCAACAGCTATCACTTCTCTGATATTTTTAACCCTAACACATGCATATGTGATCTCACCTGTTGCACCATAGAACTCCACAGGGTTTTCAAGGCTGTGACCTTTCAGAAGCAGATCACAAGCCTTTCTTCCAAGGCACCTCTGGGTGGTTTTGAACCACCAACCTTTTGCTTAACTGTTTGTGCCATCCAAGAACTTCCTAAATTTGAGATAACAAAAAAAAAAAAAAAAAATACCTCACATCCATTAAGTCAATTTTGACTCATAGAGAGAGCCCCATTGGGTTTACTGAAGTAGATTGCCTCATCTTCCTTCAGCAGAGCTGCTGGTGGGTTTGAACTGCCAACCTTCCGGTTAGCAGTCAAATGCCTCAGACACCACACCACCAGAGCTCCTTACATTGGAGATAGTAGCACTTAGTTAAAATGTGGTTGAGAGGACTGGCCATGACTGTATGTTAATGTTCATAGAGGTAATCAATCCCTCCAGCCTTTCATCTAACTTCCTTTGTGGAACTGACACAAAACAATTGAATTACATGTAACTTTCATGGTAAGTTACATATATACAACATTTTGTTAGGATGAAAGTTTATAAAACTTAATCCAGTTATCAAGAACTATACATTTGAAGTGGGTAAATTTTATGATTTGTAAAATATAAATAGAATTGTTAGGTACAAGAAAATGTATTAGGTATGACATTTTTATTAGTCATGGCTGATAATATTTGGTGAGATTAATGTTTTCTACTACTCGGAAGGAAGATGGAGCAATCTACTTCTGTAGAGATACTGCCTCAGAAACCCAACGAGGGGTCACTATGAGTCAGGACCAACTCGACAGCAGTGAGTTTATTAACCAATAAAGGAATAAAAGACATTATATTCCAGAGGGAAATATTATTTGTTTTTCCATTTTTTTTTAACAAAAGAGAAAAATGGTAATTTGTTTTTCTTTTAGCTTTGGCTCCAACTTTTGAAATGAATCCTATGAAGAAAAAAATCTTGGCTGCCAAAGGAGGAAGGGTTATAATTGAATGCAAACCTAAAGCAGCACCTAAACCAAAATTTTCATGGAGTAAGGGGACAGAGTGGCTTGTAAATAGTAGCAAGTAAGTAGAGAGAACTAGAAATTCAATTACAATTCACTATTTTGGAAAGAATTTTTTCATAGAGACTTGTTTTTGTATTGAAATCTGAATGTTGTTTGTTCCAACTTCTCTCCACAGGAGCTAATAATTCTAAAGCAAACAGAAATAGTTACCATTCACCATCAGAATCTATTACAATTGAGTTTCAATTCTTAGGATCCTATAATTTATAAGGAATTTAAAAAGTTGAGTCTTTGAGATTCTTTTATACATTGTCTAAGGTCTCTCAGTTTATGAACTCCTGGGAAATAAATAGAATCTAACTTTTTTTTTTTTTCTTTAACATGGACATCTATATTTTTTCATATTTGATGCAATTAACTTACTTAATATTTAAGTTGGAAAATAAAAATGATGATTTCAAAGTACAAATCATCTATCTGCTGAAATCAACAGAAATTTATCATTTTCCTAATGAGTAGGCCATCTACCAATGTTTCAGTGGCTTTGGGAAAAAATTGAAAAAGGCAATTTATGAGTAACATGTATTATTTATACCAAAGTCACATGGAATAGTTTCTTTGAGTTCCTTGTTATTGTTGTTGTTGTTACGTGCCATCAAGTCGGACCCGACTCATAGCAACCCCTCCTTGGGTTTCCAAGGCAGTATCACAATGGAAGTAGATTGCTCCATCTTCCTTCCAAGGAGTGGCTGGTGGGTTTGAACCGCCAGCCTTCTGGTTAGCAGTCAAATACCTTAGGCACTATGCTACCAGAGCTCTTTTGAGTTCCTTAGAAGATGTTATGTATACAGCAAGTACTAAATGGCAGAGGAGAGAACCTGAATGGGGAAGAGAAGAAATAGGTAAGGAGCAGGGATATATATTCCAGGCAATAACAGCAGTATGTGCAAAGGTCCTAAGGCAAGGAATATGAGATGTGTAAAGAATTCCAAGAAGTAAAATCAGTATGGCTGGTCTTTAGATGAAAATGGCAAGTAGTTTTAAGAGATGAGGCATACTAAGTCAGATCTTACATGCTAAGGGGTTTGGGCTTCATCTAAGAACAACTGAAATGTCAAAGGTATAAATAAGGGAAGAATGAGGTAGTTTTTGCTTTTTAAAGGTAATATTCTGAGAAAAAAAAGTAGAAACTAGATTTTCTTCACAATAATTCAATAAAGTAAGTAAGGTAGACCCTTTTTTGATATGTAGAAACCTGGGAAGTTAAAGTGACCGCCAGAAAATATATTGATAATATCCAAGCCAGAACATGCCTGTGTCATGTTGGCATGGAAGTAGACCATGACAATACAGTTATCTGCTTGAGATGATCACAAGTTTGGCGATATACAGGAGGGAAGGAATGCAGTGGCAGTAGTTGCTGCCTTGATCACATTAACCTTTAAAGTTCATGTGTTTTACATAAAAGTTATTAAGACTTTTGCAAAACTGGTATTAGAAGAGTAAATATAAAAGGATGAGTCAATGTGTTTAATTTGCTGCTGAAACATTAATGATCAGACAATGAGCAACCCAGAAACCTTGATCAAAGGGTAGCTCCATTCTAGGTGTTCATTCATTAACAACAAATAGCACAGCATTCCATATTGGTCTTAGCTCTCTCCTCTTGGTAATATAATCTTGCCCAGATTTTGATGAGAACCAGAGTCCTGGGCTTCTCCAACAAAGTACCAGAACTGTTTTCAGGGACTTCTATTTCCTAATTTATCAGCATATATTCAAAAAAGAAAGGAAAACCTAGGTTCTAAAAATCTCTTTCTTTGGCTCTGTTTCAGTATTTTTAAAGCCTTTGATTCAAGTTGTATTACTTTCTTGATGAAAACGTCTACAAATCTAATTGCTGTTCAGTACACTAATCCATGAATATGAGTCAGGTCCGACTCATAGTGACCCCTCTTTGGGTTTCCAAGGTGGTATCCCTCTGGAAGTAGATCGCCCAATCTTCCTTCTGAGGAGTGGCTGGTGGGTTTGAACCATTAGCCTTCTGGTTAGCGGTCAAATGCCTTAGGCACTACGCCACCAGAGTTTCTGTTATAAAATGTAGTCAAATAACCTGAGATACACTTTATAATAGATATAGTATTTCGTGTACAAATAAGTTTGAATGTTATATAAAGAAAAGTTAAACAATTATTTTTAGGGAAATAAAATATTTCTAATTGAAAAAGATTATGCAAGAGGTAAGTAAATGACTGTCCTTAAACATAAATGTAGTCTCATTCTGATACTAATTATGTACCATGTAAGGAAGTTAATTTTATTCCTGGCTGTTGTTGTGTTGTTATGTGCCGTCAAGTCGGCCCCGACTCATAGCGACCCCTCCTTGGGTTTCTGAGGCAGTATCACTACGGAAGTAGGATTGCCCAACCTTCCTTCCGAGGAGTGGCTGGTGGGTTTGAACTGCCAGCTGTCTGGTTAGCAGGCAAGTGTCTTAGCCACTATGCTACCAGAGCTCCCTTAAGAGGTGGCCCGTCTACCTGGTGGGGAGTGGCCGATGGGTTTGAACTGCCAGCCTTGGGTGTGGCAGCTGACTGCCCGAGGCCCTGAGGCCATCCCCGGGGGCCTATTCCTGGTTAGTGACATGTAAATGGCTTTTCCTATATTTTCTATCAGTAGGGAGAGGGCAAGAATCTTGAGTTATAATTAAGCTCTTAACTGTATGATTTTGTGTTGTGCTCAAAGGATTTCTTCAATAGAATTTTATTTTTTTTTACTTGCTAATTTTGACTGCTACCAGCTCCAAAATGAGTTTTATCTAATCTATTTATGTGTAAAAAGCTCCGAGATTCTCTGCTATTCCAGAACTGATATCTTTCACAAATTAGTAAATAAGGTGCAGGTTACCCTGAAATAATTCTGGTAATAATAAATGAATAATTTGTGTAAGACCAGATTTTTCCTAGTTTGATTGACTGCTTATCCATATCATGTTATCTGGAAATAAAGATAAGATCCTAAGACTTTCATCTATATTGATTTAAGAGCAAAGACCATTATTATTTTAAAAAAACAAAATTCAAGTTTTCTAAATATTCTGACTAAAAATTAATTTTACTGACCTGGGAAAAGTACCTGAAATGTAACCCAACCAACCCCCTGCCTTCAAGTCAATTCTGACTCATACCAACCCAATAGGATGGAAGAGACCTGTCCTTTAGGGTTTCTAAAGCTGTAAATCTTTATGGAAGCAGACTACCTCATCTTTCTCTCACAGAGCGGCTAGAGGGTTCTAAGCTGAACCTCTGGTTAGAAGCCAAATGCTTTAACCTCTGTGCCGTCAGAGGAGAGAGATATAGGACAGCAAAAATGTATCTACTCCTCATTCATCGACATGGTTAGATTCCAAAGTAGGCCATTATGCAAAAATTGGCATTATTGGAAAGTGAAGGATGACCACATTACCTCATCCCCTCACCTGTACTGTGAATGTTCTGCTGGACCCTTGAAGTCACCTGCCACCACTACCTCCCCCTACCCCACATGGCCTCAGGAGAGCTCAACCCCCACCTCTGCCTGCAGGGAAGGGCCATCCAGTCTTCCAGAGCCAGGATGGCCCAAGTGGCCACCTACATTCCTGCAGTCCCCTCTATCTCCGACTCTCACCATATTTTCAGGTTGAGTGGTCCTACTTTATTATCTCCTCAACCACCCCCAAACACCTTTCATGGCTTTGTCCATAAGTGGGAGGACCTGGGTGCCACGGGGGGGGGGGGGCGGGGATGCTCACTGCTTGGTGGGTTCCCTCTCTGGCCCCTCACTGGAACATCCTTCAGCTCTTGCTAGGTGGTCCTGTCCCCATCAGCCCCCATGTCCCATGAGAATCAATAATCCAGAGCTGCTTCTGAGGCCATGATGGCCAGGCCTGGATTCTGTCCTTGACTTTAAACAGCTGCTGCTAGCCACTCCCCACTGACCTCACCAAATAGCCTGCCCCACCCTCACCTGTGCCCATCTAGGAAGGGCTTCCAGGAAGCATAAGGGGCTACACAGGTGCTGGTCACCTGACATGGGGTCATATAACCCCAAGCATCCAAGTGCCACATCCCAGGGCTCCTTGCTCCCGGCCATCCCTGCTACCTTTCAGGACTGAAAGCTGAGGCCAGACCCAAGAGTCCCATTTCCTCCCCAGCCCGAGGGCAACCCACCTTCAGGACACTTGCTGCTGCTGCTTCAGCCTCTGCCCCCTGTCAGCTCGGAGGACCCAACAGATAGCATCTCAGCCCCACAGCCCAATTCTAGTACCCTCTCTGCTCTGCCTGGCACCCTGGTGGCTCTGGGAAAGTGTGCCCCATCCCCTCCTGGGTAGTAAAATAGTATCAATATGAATGTCATTTCTACATGCATATGGGGTCTGACCTTTAGGGACTTCAGTGTTGGTTACTGCCAGACATACATCATTAATGAGCAAAATAGTTGGATAGATTTTTACTCTTGTCATAAATGCAAAATGTGGGATAAGGATAGGTAAGTGAGGAATAGGTGTATATGCAGGAAGGCCAGTTGGAAAACTCTTCCAGTAGTCCAGTAGCTAGTTCTGAAACAACTAGTTAATTCTAAGGAAGATTATTAAAAAAAAAAAAAAAATGGCTAGAATGCTATCAATGATGGGAGAACAGAAGGGCAGTGTTTGCACAGGGAGAGAGCTGAAGGGGCTGGGAGGAGTGCATGAGATGGAAGGATATGGGGAAGGGGTAACTACAGGAAGGAAGTGGGAAGAGAGCTGTCACATTGTGGGGAATTGCAGTCAATATCATGAGACAAAATGTGTATAAAATGCTGTATAGAAAATGAATTTGTTCTGTAAACTTTCGCCTGAATCACAATAAAAATTAAAAAAAAAAGAAAAACAAACTTGATATTGTCAATTAACGTGTAAAACGTAATGACTGAAAGATAATAACCTAAGATAGATAATAATAAAGTATTTCATTAAATTAATTTTGTTAATTATGTGTGTGTGTGTGTTTCATTTCAATAGAGTACTCATTTGGGAAGATGGTAGCTTGGAAATCAATAACATTACAAAGAATGATGGAGGTATCTACACATGCTTTGCAGAAAATAATCGTGGGAAAGCTAATAGCACTGGGACTCTTGTTATCACAAGTAAGAAATCATTTGATTAATGTATTTTTAATAGTGCTTAATTTCTAATGTTCTATAAGACAGATGAATCAACTTTAAACCTCTAACTGTCCATGTATTGGTAAGTTTCCATTTTAAAAGCACTCTATGCAAGTAACTTACTTGATTTAATTACTCCTGGAATTCTAAGTTAAAATATCCATTCCTTAGCACAGAGAAATCAAAATATATTGATTTTATTCTTTCATTGTATCAGATAATATGGTGTCTCATATCTTCTTGAATTGTATTTTACTCCTTTATTTAAAAATGTATAGATCCCACACGAATTATATTGGCTCCAATTAACGCTGATATCACTGTTGGAGAAAATGCCACCATGCAGTGTGCTGCTGCGGCTGACCCCACCCTGGATCTCACATTTGTTTGGTCCTTCAATGGCTATGTGATCGATTTTAATAAAGAGAATATTCATTACCAGCGGAACTTTATGGTATGTGTTTTAAATTTCATCCTGTTAACATCCCAATGAGGTGTATGTATCTCCCTCTGCAACATCTATTACTATAATCATTTTAATGAGACTGAAAAGCAAGTTTAAAAGGCTTTTCATGGTTCTCTTTATATTAATTGTAGTAGTATTGAAACTTTTTTAAAATGGCTAACCTTAAGGGTTTTGGTAAGGAGAGTAATAAATATTCATTGATTCACTGGTGAACTTTAGGCACCTTGCCCCCCTTACTTACAATACAGTTTTCATACTGCTTTCTACTGCACCTCAGCACATATGGGCTCTGGGTTATAGCACCTTCACTTTCATTTCAAATGATCCGAAAGCATGGAACTTATACTTTGTTATAATGATTTCTTTAAAGCATTTATTTTAAAATTAAAAGCATATATTTTATTATTTGTTATTATTTTGGACACAACATATAGATGTAAGCTTTGAGAAATAGTGTAGTTTGAAGAAAGTTAAATGAATGTATTTTAAGAATTGTAAAGTATACACATATGCAATTCCTATAATTAAATATACTGATATAGAGAGTCCCTATATAAAAATAAATAAAATAGAGCAAAGACTCTAGAAGTAATGCAGGAATAACAACTTGCAGAGGAAATCATTGGCTGTCTAGGATACAATGCATTTGAAAAACCAATTTATCACTGGCAAAGGCAACCACTTAGAAGCCTAAGGACCTTTTCAGAGCAGGGCTTCAACCAGCTCATTCTGGTTTAACCCCTTGCTGAGAATTTGCCTTTCCACCCCAGATATACTGAAGCAGAATCTATGTTTAAACAAGACCCCCAAATGATTCTAATGTATACATTAGGGATCTATAAGAATTCCTTGGGGATCTTGTTAAACTGTAGATTCTCATTCGATTTATCTGTAGTGGAAAGGCAAATTCCCAGCAGGGATCAAACAGGAGTGAACTGGTGGAAGCCTTGATTTAAAGCATATAATTAATTTACTAGGAGCTCTGGTAGCGTAATGCGTAAGGCACTTGACTGCTAACCAGAAGGCTGGTGGTTCAAACCCACCAGCCACTCCTTGGAAGGAAGGTTGGGCAATCTACTTCTGTAGTGATACTGCCTCAGAAACCCAAGGAGGGATCGCTATGAGTCGGGTGTGACTCGACGGCACATAACAACAACAATTAATTTACTTAGTTTTTGTTTTAGAAGTCAATGATGGCTTAGAAGTACAATTTTTTATTGACTCAGGAAAATATTTAACATTTTTAAAGTCTTATAAAATCTGAATATTGATAATATTGATATGTATGTATTATAGTAATACATACATATATTCCAGATCCTTTTTTTTTTTTTTAATTCTTCTGGAACTTTCTACTTCTAAAAGCCAAAGCAAATTTTGAATCAAGTTAAGTAAGACTGGTTTAAACTAGATGAAGACATTTCACGTTTTTGTTAGGTAGATGCAAACAAGCAACAATGAATACGCTGTCAATGTTTGTGCCTTCCATGTGTTGACTGTTCTTCATTCAAGTTCTTGTCTTCAATTTAATTAGCCTAGCTGTAATGAGATCAGCTGTAACTGTATGTCTACAGAAAACTTACCAACTGGTTTTGTGTTTCTGAACCAAACTTACAGTTTCAAAAACAAACAAACAAAAATCCTATGAATTGGCATAGAACTATATTAAAATACTATTGTGTATTTTATAAGGCACTCTGGTGGTGCTGTGCCTAAGGCATTTGACTGCTAACCAGAAGGTTGGTGATTCAAACCCACCACCCACGCCATGGAAGGCAGATGGGGCAATCTACCTCCTTAAAGATTTGCCACCTGAGAAACTGAAAGAGGGTCCCTGTGAGTCGGAATGGACTCCATGGGAGTGGGTTTCGTTTTTGGTTTAATGTATTGTAATATTACACTGTTTGATGTATATGTCTGAAGCTAATAACCAAAAACTAAACCAAACTCACTGCCATCGAGTGGATTTCGACTCAGGGACCCTTTCTTGGGTTTCTGAGGTGATATCACTACAGAAGTAGATTTCCCAACCTTCCTTCCAAGGAGTGGCTGGTGGGTGTCATGTACTAAATCATAAACATGCCCACCATTACTGAAATTGGCACCAAGGCTTTTTAATAATTTCTTCCAAATTCTTTTTTTTTTTTTTTTGTAAGAAAAACTAATACTACTCAGTTTTTAATCATTTTAAGACGGGGGAGTGGATGGAGAGGGAAGTGGGCTAAACAGAAAGCTTAGTTTCAAAACCTAGACAGCTGAAGTTGTTTAATTCTTTAGTGTGATAAGTCGAACATCAAAAATAAAATCTAGAAATTTTATAAAATAGATATGAGCTTATACTTTTCCATGACAACAATAGTTTATACAAGTAGTTATTTAATGGCTGCCAAGAAGTTTATATACATAGATTTGGGAACTTATGTTGGCCCAAATAAGCTGCAGCTTAATATTTGCAACCTATTTATGTTCCTCAAAATAGGAAGTACATTTTTATAAAATAAACCAACCCACTGCCGTCAAGTGACTCCTGACTCATAGAGACCCTGTGTACAACAGAAGGAAACATTGCTGAGTGGTTCGCCATCCTGACCATCCTTGCTAATTTTATAGCGACTTTATAGAAGAGAATAAAACTGCCCCCTAGGGTTTCCAAGGCTGCAGAGCTTTACAGAAGAAGACTACCACATCTTTCTCCTGAAGACGGGTTTGAACTGCTGACCTTTCTTTCAGCAGCTGAGCATTTAACCACTGCGCCACCATGGCTCTTTGAGAGGTATCCTGTTGTTGTTATGTGCCTTCGAGTGGGACCAGACTCATAGCGACCCCTCCTTGAGTTTCTGAGGAGGTATCACTACAGAAGTAGATTGCCCCATCTTCCTTCCGAGGAGTGGATGGTGGATTTGAACCACCAGCCTTCTGATTAGCATTCAAGTGCCTTAGGCACTACGCTACCAGAGCTCCCAGAGAGGTACCTCTGTTGTTGTTGTTGTTGTTGTTATGTGCCATCGAGTCAGACCCGACTCATAGCGACCCCTCCTTGGGTTTCCGAGGCAGTATCACTACGGAAGTAGATTGCCCCATCTTCCTT